AAAGTCGCTCGGGGGATGAAAAATCAAGCGGAACGAGGGAGAGAGGGAAAGAGAGAGAGATAATAAGGGAGTAAGTGGCGGAGGCGGCGGCGGGGCCAGCCGGCTGCCTAATGGAAGGGAGGGCGGTCGCGCCGTGATTGTGGGATTTGCAGTGGCGGAGCGCTGCTGCCTCTCTCGCACCCCGACGGGACGCCCCGTGAGTGCGAGAGAGACGGAGCGACGAAAACACTGCACCGTTCGGAATGGGCAGCCTGGGAAGATTGATTCCGAACGGGTGTCGTCGTCGCGGTGTCTCTCTCGCACTCGCGGTGCGCGACCCGAAGGCTGAAGGGGTGCGAGAGAGACAGAGCACCCCCGAGTCGGAGAGAGCCTGCTGGGGCTCCGACCACGATTAGGGCCCATAGTGGGGGGCGGCCGGAATGATACACTGTGGGGCTGATCGCACCTCGTCCCGCGTCTCCGCGTCCCCGTGTCTCTGGCGGTCTCGGGTTACCTATCACGCTGCCGCCCCCGGCGCCGCCTCGCCTCGCCGCCCACACTGTCAGACCGCCTCCGACGGCCGCGAAAGGGAGAAAGATTGGCACCGCCAATTTTGTACACCGCAAAATTCCCGCCTTCGGAATACTCTGAAGAGCAGGCTCAGTGGTCCCGCTCCGCGTCGCGCTGTCTCTCTCGCTCTCGTGGCGCGTCCCGGAGGTGTGCGAGAGAGACAGAGCGGCGATGCGCCTGCCCGGCTTCGCCGGCGCCATGAAGGCCGTCACTCACGACACCGCACCGCCACCATATCTAAATCTGATATGTATCTGGGGGCGGGGGGGGGGAGGGGTTTCCACTCAAGAGTTGGCGTTACGTCAATACTTTTAGCCTGTCCCCCTCCGTGCCCATGCTCATCCCCCGCCACCCTGCAGGCACTGCGGCCAGGCCAGGCCCTCCCCGCGGGCTGGTTCCGCGAGCGGCGTCATCCGTCTCTCTCGCACCCACGCGGGGCGCCCCACGAGTCCACGAGTGCGAGAGAGACGGCGCATCGGCCCCACGCGGCGCGGAGTCACCGGTGAGCACGGGAATTGGGTGTCAAGCTCCAGTGTATGTATTATTGATTCGGCAATCCTATTACTGCTGATGTAGTAGTGAGGTCGGTGAGGGGAAGGGGTTGTCGAGGAGGAAGTGTGTGAGAATAAGAAAGTGTGCAGGTGGTGGTGACAGGCCGGGCGGGGTGGGGTGGGGTGCGGCGGGGCGGGGTGATGCGGCTCGGTCGGATTAAAGGAACAGCCAGACGGACTGGGCATTAATGACTTGTGTGTGGACCGGCTTCCGTGTGTCTCCGTAAAGAGCCCCGAGATTTCCTCTTAAGGAGGAAGCGGCGCTCACGTCAGAGGAGGCCTGGCTAGACCCGTCCACGTTTCCTCATTCGCGGCCTTCCCCGTTCCTCCCTCTGAAAATCTTTTTTTTTTCGCGTTTTCCTCTCTATTTTTTGCAGATACGTCGGGTGGCCGTTGGAGTGCGCAAACGAACGCTTCGCCCCGCTTCGCCCCCTCCACGCGGAACAGTGCTCCAAACACGGGAAAAGGCAGCCGGGGAAAGAAAGGACTCTGTGTGGCCGAGTTGGCAAAGTCCTAATGGAGAGCGATCTAAAAGGGGCCTTCACGGGATGGCCGTGCCGGTCGGGCTTGTCCTAAACCCGGAGCCCGGCCCTCCCTGGGGACGACGCACAGACTCCGGCAACTTACGGCTGTAGCGGGGCGCCGGGCCCGGAGCCGCGCGGCCCAAAGTGTTAAACAGGGCCGGCCTGAATCATTTAGCTCTCCAGGACAGGGCGACCAGGAGCGGCCGCGCCAGACGCGCCACTGCGCCGCGAGGTGCCGGCGCTATTAACTTCTTATGCCGGTACCGGTAATGGACCAGGCTGCGACCTCGGCGTGTTCGCCGCGTCGCAGTGGGAACCGGCTCACTGGCGGCTAACGTGACGAATTTGTTTGGTCGTGACCAAACATCGTGACGGTATGGATGATGTGGCTATCTACGCGAAAGTGTATGTGTGTGGTGTGTGTGTGTGTGCGCGCGCTCGTGTGTGTGTGTGAGAGAGAGAGAGAAATGGAAGTGGTGGACCGGCCCGCTCCGAGTCTTTCTCAAAAGTCCATCCTACTTACCCACACCCCCGCCTGCCCGCTAGCCTGCTTGCTTCCACCCTTCCACGGATTGCAGCCAACTGAATTTTTCAGGCCGTCTTTAATTCCCTTACCCGCTCTGGCTCGGCTCGGCTCGGCTCGGCTCGGCCCTTTCAAACAGAGGGTTCCGTTCGGTGCGGTCAATGAGTCAATGCGGCCGCAGGGTTTCGCCCTGCGTCAGCCTGAGCTGTTCCAATGGGGAGGTAAACCCGTTTGCGGTTTCGCGAAGCGGCGGCAGGGTCGGCCAGGCCGGGTACTTGGAGGCCGCGGCCGGGACTATGCATCAGCCGACGAAGAAAAGCGAAAACACTAATGGGGCTCAACCTGAGTGAGACTAACCGCGGCCCGCGACACGCCCGGTCCGGTCCGGTCCGGTCCGCCGGGCAGAGATTGATACGGCTTGTTATTTCTGACTAATGGCCGCCTCGCCGCCCCGCCGCCGCTCGGCTACCTTTTGCCTGCTCGTTTGGCTCCACTCCACTGTCTCCCTGCGAATTGCACTGATTTGTTAAGACACCAGCCTCCAGCAGCCTGGCCAGCAGCCTCCAGCAGCCTCCAGCAGCCTCCAGCAGCCTCCAGCCAGCAGCCTTGAGGGCGATGCGATAAGTCTCTGGGGTCGAGCATGGCTGAGCGCCGTGCCGTGCCGTGCCGTGCCGTTCCGCGCCGAGCCGGCAGTGGGAGGGGTGGTGGAGTTAACACTGAGGGGGTTGAAGCGTGAAATGGATTTAGCAGAAGAAGGGACGGCCGGGGAGCTGCGCGAGCTGCGTGTCTGGCTATCTGTCTCTCTCACGTCCTTTCGTGCGGACTCGCGCGCGCTCGCGTGTCGCTTCGGTCCGGCCGGCCGGTCCGAACGGCGCTTCTTCGGGGCTCCGTCTCTCTCGCACCCGTTCGTCGCGGACCGCGGGGGAGAGAGAGAGAAGCACAGTTCGGACAGTCAACCTGCAGGCTGTAGGGGTCCGGCAGCACGCCGATGGCCTTTCCGCCGATTTGGCTAATAATCCCCGAACCCCGCGCAGAGGCCCGAATCGAAGCGGAGCGGAGCGGCGGCCGAACGGCCCCTGGGGGTTCGGCAAAACGCGCGGCAAAACAATAGAAAACGGCGGCACGGCGGGCGCTAGTCTACTGTGAAATAGGACGTAATGGGGGAAGTGCTGGCTCCGGCCGTTCCCAGCGGACAGGCGGCGGCGGGTCGCGATCGGGCGACAGCGGCGCAGCGCCTGCCCGACCCGAGGCCCACGGCGCCACGGCCATGGCCCGGCCGCTTAGCATAGTTATTTGCTTTTTCCGCCACTCTCGCGCGGATCGCCGAGGACGCCGAGGAGGGGCCGGCGGGGAACGGCGGCAGTAAAACCGAAACGCAGCGGGCTCCTCTGTCTCTCTCGCACCTGTGCGGCGCGCCCCGTGAGTGCGAGAGAGACAGGCCGCGGATTAAAGAGCGGCGGTGAGGGAGCCGCGGCGAGGCGACACCCAATATGTCAGCGAATTACCTGAGGGAAGCCGAGCCGCAGCGGCCGGGCCGAGCGGACTGATTTCTGAGACGCGTTTTCGTCGCTCTGTCTCTCTCATACTCATGGGGCGTTCCATGTAGGTGCGAGAGAGACAGAGCGACGACCCCTCAGCATCAGTCTACTGGGTCTTGCCCGAGGCGGCGACGCGGACCGCGTGGACTCGCCCCGAGTCGCGGATATTTATTTACTCTCCATTTCGCGGGGTATTCATTCCATCATCTCCAGAAGCCAATATCGCCCAGTAATAAAGTCCTTTCTTTTTCTCTGTTTTCGTTTCGGGGAGTCTTCTTTGCAAGCACGTTTATTTTCGACACGGAAAAGACGCCGAAGGACTGAACTTGGCCGGCCTTGGCCTTGCTGGCTTACCGTTTTTCCTCGTTGGCTGGTGGACACTCTCCACGTTTGCCGAGATGTTCCGAGCTGCCGAACCAGAAGAGTGCTGCTTCCATTCGACTGAGCAATGCGAGGGAGGTTGTTTAAATGCTACCAAACCCAGCAATTATTTAACCCATTTCAAATAGCCTGTTTCGGATAATCCGCACTAAATTAATCTGTGCCCAGGGAATAAACTTGTTAAACTCACTGCAGTTTGAAAAAAAAAGAGAAAAGAGAGACCCTTCTCTCCGCTGTGAAACGCAACGCACCCCGTGTGATGCAACGCGTGCCGACGCGCCGCGCTCCCAGACTGCCAGCTCGGGCTGCCGGCAGGGCGGCACGGCGGCACGGCAGGGCTGCCAACCTCCCCCAAATCCGGTATCCCCATTTGCACCCGGTAATGGGACGATCAGCATTCCCTGTGGGTGGGTACCGCCCAGCCAATCGCCGACCCGTATTTATTATGAATTTGAAAATCATTGTCACGTGACTCCCCAGGCGGGACGCGCCTGCTCCTATTTTTTCCGCCGTCCGTGTGCACTGGTGTGGCATAAGCCTCTCTCTTCCTCTCTCTCTCGTTGTCTCTGGGATCCGCAGATCCGCGGTGGGCTCTGGCCATGACGGCACCACGCACAGCAGACACCCAACGACAGACACCCCTTTCAAAGGCTCGCACTACAATTTTCCCATCCTCGGTGAGGACAGTCAAAACGACTTCCAACTGAGATAGAGATATTTGAATCGAAATTTGGGATACGTATTTTGATGTCCAAACTGGAGAGAATGAATCAAGCTTCGCATTGACAGAAAACTAAATAGTCTACAACCGTCTACAACAGACTTGGTCGGACTTCAACGCCTGAACAATTGCCTTGACCAGAATAAAAGAATCACAAATTTCATTCACAGCTTTTATTCTCTTTTTCATCATATACCTCATTTTTTTCTTTTAAATAAAAAAGAACCTGAAGATTATGTTTTGCTTTGCTTACAGTCTTGGCGACAATTTCTTGGCTCCTTCAGACAGGAATGTCATAAACAACTAAAACAAGATCCCGTCAAATAAAATTGTAATAATTAATGAAATAATAGTAATAGCAATAATAATAATAACATCTGGTAACAATTAAAGAGCCACAACATGCCATTTTTTTACACATCCATTTGCGGCGAAACATTCAGTGCAATATGAAAACAAATAGTATATACAACTAACATCTGTACAGAAATAAACATCTGTTTATTTCGAGACTTTGGAACACGAAGCATCGTCTACTGCAACGCGAGTTCACCTCACCCGACCGTGGCGCGCACGCGTCGGATGAAAAATATCACAAGAACTCGTCATGCCAAGCGGCGGTTTATAGTACAAACATTTCACACACTCGGTGGCGATCATCATCAGTCCACATCAGTCCAGGGGACAAAAATATTTCACTATGAGTCCACTTTCTTCCTAAGCTTGTGCGGCCTCTTCGAACGGGTCCAACCAAAAATACTATCCGAATGGGAAGGTCGTCGCAGAGCAAGGGCGAGTAGTATAGATCCCCCTATACCACTGGGGCAGCCAGGACTCTGTCACTCGTCGGCTGCGGTAACTGGAGACGGTGCTCCCGGCCCTCAGGAGCTGTGGCCCAGGGGGTGGTGGAAGTAGGGGTGGCCCGTGTAGCCCTGCGACCCGTAGGGGTAGGAGTAGAGCAGCCCCGTGTGGGGGTGGAACGCCCCGGAGAAGGGGCCCTGGTGGTGCGGCCCGGGCGGCGGCTGCCGCTCCGTGGGGCTGTTCACGTCCAGGCCGGGGTTCTGCTTCTTCCACTTGGTGCGCCGGTTCTGGAACCAGATCTTCACCTGAAAAGAGTCAAAGACAGAAGGGGTTAGGGTTGGCCTGGCGTCTTGCAGGCTTCTGGGATCGCGACGAAGCGGTGGAGACCTAAACGCGAGGTGACGTGTTTCCAACGGGCTGCTTAAAAAGCAGCTTACGGAACACAGCAGATCAAAACAACCCCAACCACACGATGTTGTCATCATTGCAAACGCAGAAAAACTTGAACTTTGGGCTGGGCATTTGAACATTTTGTGCGTACCTGCGTCTCGGTGAGGGACAGCGACAGCGCGAGGTTGAGCCGCTCGCACACCGACAGGTACCGGGTGTGCTTGAACTTGTTCTCCAGCGCCACCAGCTGCTCGTACGTGAAGGCGGTCCGCGCGCGCCGCGCCTTGCCGCCCCCGGACGACTTGGAGGAGCCGCCCCCGGAGCCGCCGCCGCCCCCCGAGGACTTCTTCTTGGACGGCGACCCCTCGCCGTCCTTGGTGTCCTCGCCGACGTCGCTGGACTCGAGGTCCACGTCGCTGCACATGTCGTCGTCGCCCGTCACGTCGCCGTCGTCCACGTCGCGGCCTGCAACACCAAGAAGGCCTCGATGAAGCACTCCTCCACGCCGTGTTCCTGCAAAGTCTCCCCTTCCAACTCCAAAGCGGCTGACAAGTGTAATGAAGTCTAAGTCTCCGGGCAGACCGCAAACAATCTCATTACCCCCGCGCCGCGCCGCCCTGCCACGCCACGCCCCGCCCGCCTTGACTAACGACGCAATCTTTGCCAACTCCAAAGGAAGGCTTAACAGATTCAACAACATCTTAACGCGGGGCCCTGTCGGGGGTGGCTTGCTGGAGCCCGGCCCGGCCCAGCTCTCGCAACTCCGCCCAGTAAACGGCTAGTGCTCCACTGTTGCCACCTTGTTTCTCGGCGGGCACAGCGACCTCCCAGCCCTGGGGCCTGGGCTCTGGAGCCTCCAGGCATCCGTTTCCAGCGTTTCCAACCCGCCTCAGGGCGGCCTCCGGGACGCACCCCGGCCGCCATGTTTTCTTGCCGCCCAGTTTGGCTCCAGGTCCTCTCTCTTTCTCTCTCTCTCTGTCTCTCTGTGCCCCACTCGGTGAGCCGACCGAAGCTTCCGATTTCTAATCCAACCACGGAACGAAGAATTAGTGTACACCCCCCCCCACCCCCCAGAAAAAACTCACAGTCACAGTGATTACCTAAAGCCAACATTTCGACAAAAAAGTCATTTTGACACTCATTTGGCAGTTTTAAGCATCCGCCTCGTGTGTTTGTTGGGGCGGCACACAGTGGTTGTGGGCAAGAGCGGCGCCACGACCAATTTCGCGACACTTTGGAGGACAGCGAGTCGCTCGCCTGGATCGACGCGAGGCGTGCGGTCGGCAAAAGCGGCTCCCGGGGGCGGCGGGGGCGGCGGGGGCGGCGGGGGCGGCGGTAGGGGCGGCGGGGGCGAGCCGAGCCGCCCGGGCGGTACAGCACCGTGACTAATTGTAATCGACCGGGGGGTCCTCCGCGGCCCCAGCAGCCAGCCAGCCAGCTCTCCCCCCCCCTCCCCCCGATCCTGCGAAGGGGTGGGGGCGGAGCGCGGTGTAGTGATACAGAGCGGTTTGCCGCCGTTAAGGAACCAATCGAGTACAGCCCGAGGCCGCACCCCACCCCACCCCGCCTCACCTCGCCCCGCCCCGGTACTTGAGGGCACTTGGCTCCGAGGAGGGAAATTGGCCTGACACAGGGGAGGACAAACAGCGGGGGGTTGTGTGCTCGAATAAATAGGCGGGCCTGGAGGGGGAAGGGGGAGGGGGTGGGGGCCGGGGTAAACATTTTAGCCATTTTAACAGTGCGACGACGCGCACCGCAGCAGTGACGCAGGATGGTGGCCTTATTGACCGCATGCGTGTCTGTCTGTCTGTCTGTCTGTCTGTCTGTCTGTCTGTCTGTCTGTCTGTCTGTCTGTCTGTCTGTCTGTCTGTCTGTCTGTCTGTCTGTCTGTCTGCCTCACTCTCACTGGGAGATGGGGGCACGGGCCGAGCTAAATCGGCCGCTGCCAAGTCGCGAGGAAACCCCGCCGAAACTACGGCCGACTAAGCACCCCCCCTCCCCCTCCCTCGGCGGGGCCTAACAACCCCATCAGTAAAACGATCCAAATTGATTTGATTGGCGAGCCGCTGCCTCTGGGGAGAGTGGAGGGGCGGGGAAGCGTTGCTGGCCTCTCTCCTCTCTCTCTCCCTCTCTCTCCCTCTGCCGTCGAGCTGCTCCCGTTTCTCCTTAATTTGCGGCCTCTTACCGCCCCGTGCCCCCACCACCCACCCCCGTCGGCCCGCGGCAGCCCGCGGCAGCCCGGGGGGTGGGGGCGTGGTTTCTGCGGGGCGTCATAGGCGGCGGGGGCGGCGGGGGCGGCGGGGAGAGCCGGTTGCCATGACTACGAGGGCCGGTGCGGTCTCGTCCCGTCAGTCTCGCGGTTCCGGCGAAGGACTGAGGGACTGAAGGACCGAAGGACCTCGGAGCGTGGTGGTGCCATCCATTGCGTGGCCGCGTCGGCCCGTCCGTTTGGCAACAAAGCATTGGGACACTAGCGGCCGCCCAAAAACAACTCAATTTTCGGACATCCCTCTACATTTTGGCCAACTTTGCGGCGCCACACTGCTCCGTTCAGGAGCACCAATCCCAACCAACAAAAATGCGACGACGGTGAAGGAGAGACGCGATAAGGCCACGATGCCCCCATGCAAGGCCTGAGTCCGCTAGCGCGCTGGCGCCGTGACTGCCTGCTCACACGGTGCTTGACCGCCCCGGCGCCCCCTCCCCCTTTCCCGGTTACTTCCAGCGCATTTGCGCGGTATCGCGCGCCGATCTGTTGAACAAGGCTCATGATAAAGGTAAGCTCCTATTTTCTCCGTTTATCCCCCACTTGAGCTTCCCCAGACGCGACGCTGGCCTCGCCTGGCCTGGCCGGGCGTTCCTTCCGCGTCACCGCACGGCCGCCCCGCCCCGCCCCGCCCCGTACGCCGCGGGGGCAATTTATATCAGGGGAAACTTGGTCGGACGTGGTCACCGCGTGTGCCCGGAGGGGCTGCCGGAGGGGCCCCTGGAGGGCCAAAGCCATTTCCGGGAAAGGGTCTGCGTCCAGGGCCGCTGGACCGCCCGGCCACAACAGTTCCTAATAGTTTCAACCGGTTACTCTACTAAGGACCCTCCCCGCCCTCCCTACAGCCTTGCTTACCTTGAGATAAAATGAAAAACGTACGCAAAAACAACTTGCCCGTGCCAGACTATAGGCAGGCAGCTAAAACGGACAGACAAGGTCGATTCCATGGACAGGCTATATAGGATCGAAGTTTTAGAGCCTTGTCGATACCATGGCAACAATGAATGCTTTGTGCATAGCGGAGGGTGGTAGTTCGTATTTCAAAGGAATATATCTGCAATTGCACACAGCAGTCGCCATCCTTCGTTCGAAGGGCTAGGCAATGCAGCCTGGAGACTGGAGACCTTAACGCCACGGGACAGCCGGGAAGCCTGGAAAGCCGGCTTTCCTCAAACTTCACTTCGAGGTGTGCGGTGCACTGCAAGGCAGGCACATTCCGGTGGTGCCTGCGGTCACGCCCGTCCCACAGTGGCCGTGTATTTATAAAGCCGCGCTTTTTTACTTCCAAAACGCCCTGAAAGACTCCTCTGTACGCGGCGCCCCAGGCCCCCTCCCCCTTCCCCCCTCAAACCCCTTCTAATTTATTTTCACTCGTACTTCTTCTTCCCCGCGCTGCGCTTCAAATTGAGCAGCGAGGCGGGTGGTCGCGTACATGGCGAGCAAAGCAGTCTCACACCGACACCACCAACAACACTGACAGCAAAAACAACAACAACACGCCGGCAGCAACAACAACAAGTGGCTGACTGACGCGCCGCGCCGCCGCGCCGTCAGTGCGACTAATTGGGGCCGCACACATGACAGCCGGGAAGTGTTTCTTTTTTTTCCCTCACTCTCTCGACAATTTCAACCATTTTATCTACTTTTTCAATTTTTTTCCATCCGCTGCTTTTTTTATGTAATGTGTTGATTGATTCTCATCTCACACCTTTTTTTTGTTTACGGGTGTGGGGGAAGGGGCTTTTAGTGACCACCGGCCATGAAGTGGCGCACGCAACTCATCCCCCCCCCCCACACACACACACGTCGAGAGATTCCCCTAATTGAGTCGAATAACACACAAAAGCCCGGTGCCGGTCCGTGCCGGTGTGTCGTCCCCTCGGCCCCTCCATCATCCCTAATGACAAACGCGTCCACATAAATTTTCCCCGGGCCGCGTGAATATGCAACAGAATTGCCAGCAAGCAGACGACGCTACGGCAAGCCAGCGGCACGGCGCTGCGGTCGCATTTGTTTTTGCCGTGTGGTGGCCTCACGGTCTGGCGCGGCGGCGGCATAACCCTGAGGAAAACCGCGAACCTGGCGAAGAGGAGGGGAGGGGAGGGGCGAGGGGGTGGCATGCTTGCGCAGCCACCCAGAAAATAGAGGAGCAGTTGGCATTGCCGCCGATGCGCCTTGATGGGGAGGGGAGGGGAGGGGTGGCGGTGTCATTCCCCCGCGCCACCCTCTCTCTGCGACGCCGCCGGATTTTAAACCGCGTCACACCGCGTCGGTCGGTAAGGAGGTCGCGCCGGTCGAAGCCATCGGCATTACGCTTGTGGGGTAAAAAAAAGCGATGATTTGGGGGTTTTCTAGCGTCATGGAGGCTGACTATCGTCGCCACTTTTCTTGGACCGTAGTGCCCAAAACAAGTGATGCATGTGGTGCCCGGGCGCGTGGTGCCATCTCGCCGTGCGGGCCATCGCAATCGCCTGGCGCGTAGGCAGTCCCGTGGAGCAGCGCTGTCGGCGGGCTGCCTACCCGCAATCCGCAGGGGCCCGCCGCCCGCCGACGGCCACTTTGGCGGTATGGATTCCAGTCTCCGGGTATAAGAAATTGCGAAAAGCGAAACACAATCCAAACAAACACAAAAGGTCAATGAGGGCTCATCCCCGTGGTGAAGGCCTGACGCCTCACTCACCTGACGAGCTGTCGTGCGGGCTGGCCGTGTCCAGGTGCGGCCGCCAGCACCCCGCCGCCGTGGCGCCGAGCAGGGGGAAGCCCGGCACGGCCAGGGGCCCGGCCAGCGCGCCGCCCAGCGCCGCCGACATGCCGAGGTGTCCGGGCAGCGGCAGCCCGCGCTCCTTCTGCCCGGTGAACATGTTGGGGTCCAGGATGTTCTTGACGGAGAAGGCCAGCCCCCGCCGTATCTGGTGCGAGGGCGGCGGGCTGGGCTGGCACGTCGAGGGCGGCGTCGGCGACCGCGGGCTGCGCGGGCTGGCGGGGCTTCGCGGGCTGCGGGGGCTGTTGGACCGCGAGCACGCGGGGCTGTGCGCGCTGTGCGGACTGTGCGGCCTCCGCTTGCTGTTGTTGTTGTTGTTGTGGAGGTGCTCGTCGTCCTGCACCGAGGACGACGCCATGGAGGACGTGGGCGACAGCCGGTCCTCGCAGGGGTGCCGCAGACCGAAGGGCCTGCGCGTCAAGTCCACGGGCAGCGCGGCCAGGGACTGCTTCACGTCCTCCTTGAGCCGGCGCCGCAGCTCGTCCTCCTCGTCGTCCGCGCCGTCCGCGGCCGCGCCGTTGCCGGGCTCGCGCGCGGGCAGGGCGGGCAGGGCGGGCTCCCGGGCCACGGGCACGGCGATGGGCCGCACCAGCATGGGCGCGAGCGGCAGCGGCATGGCGGCGCCCGCGAACACCGCGTGCAGCGGCCGGCCCAGTGACGTCGGGCTCGGGGACGACGTCGATGACGACGATGACGACGACGACGACGACGACGACGCCGGCGGCTGCTGAGGAGGTGGCTGCTGCAGGTCCGGTTGCTGCAGAAGTCGCTGCATCATCATCATCGTCATCATGTCAACATGTCACACCCACACGCAGTCATGCACACACACACGCACACACACTGGTTCACTCGCGCGCGATCATGAGTTCGCCTCGCGTTCGGCGCGGCGGGTCGGCGCGTTCGGCGCGGTCGGTGTCTGTAGCGCACGCTAGCGGACGCCAGGGAGGTCCGGCGGGGACTGTGCCTCCACTGCCTCCTCGCTCCTGAGCGCGCGCCGCGCCGGCAGCATCCCTGGCACCCCACCCCACACCCACCCCACCCCCACCCCGTGCAGGCCCCGCCCACCGAGGATGGGCCTCCCCGGGTAGTCTCTCTCTATCGCAACTTGTGGTTTGTGCCTGTCTGGTTGACTCACGGCTCCGCGCGCGCGCACGTACACACGCACATGCACACACACGCACACACGCACACACACACGCACACGGCGGTGCCACAGTCATGTACAAACAGTGTCGCCGCAGAGATTTGGTCGGCGGGGCGTAAAAGTGGCAAGCGGCGCCCCGCGTCAGATGGCTGCAGACTGATTCCGCGAGTCTCGCTCCGTCTCTCTCGCACTCTTGGGGCGTCCCGCCATGGGTGCGAGGCGAGAGAGACAGAGAGACGAAAACGACTCGCGGAATCAGTCAGCGGAACGACGAGGGCAATCGGGGAGCCGAGGAGGGAAGCGGGAAGCGGCCGGAGAGTGGAGCAGCACGCCCTCTGAGTCAAGGTATTGATTACAGTGTAGAAAACAGCGCATCCAACATCGCATCGAGAACGCCCTGATCCCCTTTAACGTTACTATGACATAAACTCCATTTTTTCGGAATATTTTTTTCTTTACTGTGTACCATTAAATGCCCGTGCACACCACGCGTGTCCAGGTCCACGCTCGCCGGGGGGTCGCCGTCGATAGTCTCGAGAGCCCCTGGAGTCGACGCCGGCCTTGCAAAGCAGGTGCTAACTGGCTTGCGCCCCCACCGGGCTCCCCACCGGGCTCCACGCCGGGCTCCCCACCCCGCGCCCACCCCTCCCTGCCAGCGGTCCGAGCGACCGCGCCGCGTCCGCCCCCCACCCCTCGGCCGGCGGCAGCGCGTCAGCCAATGGCGGGCCTCGGTGCTAAAGTGGCGCGCAGGCCCCGCCCCCGAGAGCACGCGGCCGCGGCGTCTCTCTCGCTCCGCAGTCGCGGCCGCGCGTCGCGCTCCGTCGCGGGCCCCGTCGTTTAGATGCGGGGGCCGCGGGGGCCGCGGAGCAGAGGGCGTTAAAGACCCGGCCGCCCCCACCCCGCCGCCCCCGCGCCGCCCCCGGGCCGCGCCGCCTCTTAAACGCCTCATTTACACGGGGGTAATTATTACGCGGGGTACTAAATGGCGAGGCCGGGGGCTGGCCTGCCCAGCCTGCGCAGCCGCGACCTGCTCTGCTCGACCATGGCGAGCGCACGAGCGCGGCCAGGCGGCGCCCGCGGACTCCAGGGTAGGCAACGCGCACCGTGGCGGCGGCCGGCGGGATTGCCTACCCGGAGGAACGCAGGCGCCGTGCAGGCCGCTGTGCAGGCCGCCGTGCAGGTGGTGGAGGTCGTGGCGGTCACGGAGGATGAGAACCGGTGGGCCTCGTGGACGCTGTCTACGACGGTGGTGGAGGTCGTGACGGCCCTGGGGGTCACGAAGACTGGAGGGATGGTGAAATCAGAGTCGAGGACTTGAGGAGCGCGAAGGCCGTGGAAGGAAGTCAAAGGACCACCGACTTGTCCCCTTTCGTGACCATCGCCTGTCTGAGCAGCGTGCGTCTGTGTCTGTGGTGTGCGTCTGTGCTGTGTGTGTGAGTGTATGAGTGTGCTTGTGTGCGTGTGGGTAAGGGCGCCTCAAAACGTCCCCGCCACGCCGCCAAACAAGCGACCCGACCAGACCGACCAGACCAATAAAGGGGGAATCAACTGGATCCACTTCAAAGCCAAAGCCAGAGGCTGCGTGGCGCGGTGCGCGGTGCGCGGTGCGCGGAGCGGTGCGGGGCTGCGGTGGGGCATGGCCGGGGCCACCAGAGGGCCAGAGGGGCTGGCTGCAGGGCGGGCCGAGGGGCGAAAGCGCTGTATTCAATCAACAGAGGAGGAGCAGGGCCGCCCCGCCCCGCCGGGGAGAGAGGCGCCATTAATTAGTGAATTGCATTATAATGCCGCACCCAAGCCTCGGCTTGGCTGCTCCGCTATTCGCTTGCGGCAAGGATTCCCGGCAGGGATTTGCGCGGCTCGGCCTGGATTCCGAGAGTCGTTCTCGTCGCTCTGTCTCCCTCGCACCTCTACGGGACGGCCCATGAGTGCGAGAGAGACAGACCGACGGAATCAAGTCTGCTGAGACGGAGACAACCCGTCCGCCCTGAGGGCCCTGCCGGGGTAGGCTAGGTTAGGTCGGGATGCCCAAGTGGCTGAGACGCGAAGCCTGGTGAAGAAGACGGCGGCGCGGCCGGGGGCCTCCACTCTCCACCACGAAGGGCGAGGGCGGCGAGGGCACGGTGGAGCAGGGCATTAATTCTAACAAGCTGCAATGATAACCTCGGCAAGAACAACAAAATGGCCAAAAGGAAGAACAAGAGTGGGGGCCTGGAGGCCCGAGGGAGGTGGGGGGAGCGGCATCGTCATTCAGGGCCGGGTGGGCCGCTGTGGTGGGCCGGGCCGCCGCGGTGGGCATCGCCCGCGTCGCGCCGCCGAGCCACCCCCTTCATCACGCTATTAGTCACACAACCTCATCTAATATGCAATTATAACGCATCAAGAGTGCGAGCGGCGAGGGCGCGCGGTGGGGGTGGGGGAGCGGGGGAGGGGAGGGGTGCGAATTACGGCGACCGCAACAAAGGCGCCAACATGGCAAAGTAGCAGCAACTGCGAACAACAACTGAACTTGTTGCCGCATTGTCATGCCCGGGGAGGAAGAGGAAGGGCGCGGCGGCAGCAACACCACCGCCACACCATCACCACCACCACCATCACGACGACTACCATCACCACGACGACCACCATCACGATGACTACCACCACCACGACGACCACGATCGCGACGACAACCACCACCACCACACGGCAGCACCGCCGTGAAACGCCGTGGTGACGACGGTTTGATCGTCAGCCAACGGCGCGGAGGCTCATGTGATAGCCGCACTTTGTCGTGTACCCCCCAGGAGGGTGTGAACGAGAGAGTGTCTCGGATTGCACTGCGCGGTGGGGTGTGGGGGTGCTAGACGGGTGTGGCGGTAGAGAGAGAGAGAGATAGGGCAGCAGCAGTAATCGTTTAGTTCGCTTCATTTGGCCATTACGCCGAGGTTGGTGCGGTCCCTGGTGTCCCTGGTGTCGCGGCGGAAAGGGTCGCATATGGCTCGCTTTCCAAAGGACAGCCCGCGCGACCTGCCGGACCCTCCCCTCCCCCTGCCCCTCGTCCGCCCCGCCTCTGGGGAAATCCAGACCCTTGTCATCGGAGATCCGACAACGAACCCCCAGGAGCCTGTATTTATCCCATCTTCACAGCCGGGCCGGGAGGTTTCGGATCTGCGCCCCGCGCCCGCCGCGCCCACGGGGTCCTGCCTCTGCCTGCGACACCTGCTGGCTGATTCCTCGCTCTGTCTCTCTCGCACTCATGGGGCGTCCCGAGAGGGCGCGAGAGAGACAGCGGCCAAAGCGGTGCAACCGCCAGCCTGCTGGCTAGGGGTCGGGCGTCACTGGATCCCCCCTTGGTGGTTAGTTCGGTCAACACGCCGTGTGGTGTTGGTCCCGGTAGCACACCGGGCAGCGCGTAGCGGCGTAGCGGCGTAGCGCGCCCTCCGGCCGAGTCCACTCCGGCTAAACGCAGCGCCTACACCGGAAAGCAGCCGGCCGTTGTGGCGCGGTTCGGCCGAAGCGCGGCTGGTGGCGGTGGAGTCTAATGCCCAGCCCGTTAGCGAGGAATGATTCGCAATGGCCAGCAATGACGCGACATCAGCGCCTCGTAACAGCGCGTCCCCGGGGACCGCGACCCCGCCCGCCCGCCCCGCCCCGCCCCGCCCCGCCCCACCCTATAATAGCCACATATGTCGCGCGGCGATGCTCCATAAACATGAGCGCGGCAGTGCTCCGTTCTCGAGATTTGTCTCGCAGCGGTCCCGCGTTCAGTTCGCAGTGCTCTGGTCGCTTTCACCGCCGCCCCGCCTTTCGAGTGGGCGTGCATAACTTCGGGGAGTGTTTGCGACCATATGCATGTGTGTGTGATTGGTCGCGCGCCAATCCGTCCCCAGCGCCTTTCTGCGCGCTTTCGATTCGATTGCCATGCATTGCGATCTCATTTCGATACATCGAAATAATGTGATAACAAGCGCGTTTGTCGACCCTCACCCTCGGCCACGCGGGCGTCAACACGATCGCAACGTTTATTCTTTTCCTGCTGCTTTTATAGTAGAGTGGGGCCGTCCCACGAGTTCGAATCTCCAGGCTCGGACTGGCCCGGGCAGACAGGCAGAAAAATCTGCCGGGGCCTTCGGATTTGTGACCAGTAACGTCACAAAGTTGGTCAAAAAGTGATTAAATCTCCGAAAGTAGCCGTTTTCCCTGAATTTGAGCGGCCACTGTGTCCAATCTGTTGCCGTAAAAGGCCTCCCTCGACTCCTAGGTTTTCGTAAGCCCTACTGGGCCCTGTGTCGGGAAGCGTTGACCAGGGCGATTTGCCTTTGACCGCACGATTTGGGGAAACCAAAGTTGGTCCAAAAGTGGTCGAATATCGGAATTTGCTGATTTTGCTGACTTTGGGTGGCCACAGTGTCCAATCTAGTTGCCGTAAAAGGCCTCCCTCGACGTCCTAGTATTCTCAAGACCCTACTCTTTCATGCCCTGTGTCGGGAAGACGTTGACCACAACGATTTTGCCTTTGACCGCAACGATTTTGGGACCAAAGTTGGTCAAAAAGTGGTCGAATATCGGAAATTTGCTGATTTTGCTGACTTTGGGCGGCCACTGTGTCCAATCTAGTTGCCGTAAAAGGCCTCCCTCGACGTCCTAGTATTCTTAAGACCCTA